TGGTGCAGTAATGAAATGCTGAGCTGCAAATCAGCTTAGCAATTTAAGTCCACCTCATGCTCGGTGGAAGAAAGACCTGGTGATTTGCTCACATGAAGAGTAAGAACAAGCAAACTCACTGCCATTGTGCCAGAACCAACTTGTAGCAGACCCTCCAGCCATTTGTGAGGCTGTAAATCGCAAGAGCGGCTGCCCATCTTTTTCCCTAGGGCCACTGGTAGAGTTGAACCATCAGACTCCACCTTTGGGCTAGCAGTGCATCTACTTAGGGACGAGAGCTTCATAAAAATTATAGCCTAGAGAACCCACAGTGGGGCAGTTCTCTGTCCATTGACGGCACCTAGCAATAACAACTCTGTCCATTGACAGAGAAAAGCTTTCTGCCTCGGGTTCAGCTTTCTCTGGGTAGTCAGAGTCTTGGCCCTTTTCGGTTGGGTATCTGTCAATCGTGTTCAGTCTGTCTTGTCAGGCATTTTTAACTCGTAACAGTAGTCCCTTATTGGCTGTTAGTGCAAGGTGGTGCCATTTTACAGCTAGTTCTAGATAGACAGGGAGCTGGACAGTGTCCATCCAAGATGTCATTTTGGCTGCTTTTTTTTTTTCTCTCTGATTTAGAAATGAAAGCTGGTTGAGATCATAGGAATCCTCTGGCCCAGTGCCCACATTTTACAGGTGTTTAATGTTTTAAAAACAAGCAAAGCACAAACGCTTCTTGCTCAAAAATGCATCCTATAAACACTGTTTCTTACAAATGGACACTCTGTTTAAGTCAAAGAGCAAGAACAATAAGCATCCATATTCCATTTTTAGAAAACAGGAAATGAACTAGGAATGGTGTCCATGTTGCTTTCCTCCTGAAAGGCCGTTGGCAGTTCCTGCTAAGTCTAAGTGCTGCTTTACTTCTAAGATTGGTGGCCTGGCAGCCTGTGTGCATCCCAACTGTAGGTCTTTTTATCTTGACTTGGAAGAGTCTGACTTGGCCCTGACATTTGTGGTATGATGTCCTTTGTGAACGGGTGTGGTCATAGAATTTATAAGGGCAATCTGTTTGTTATGTGCCATCGAGTCGTTTCCGACTCATAGCGACCCTATGCACAACAGCTCTAAACCCTGCTCTGTCCTGTGCCAACTGCACCGCCTTTGACACACCCATCCCGATTACCCCAGTCACCGAATCAATCCATCTCATAGAGGGTCTTACCCTCCTGCGCTGTCCCTCCACCCTCCCAAGCATGATGTCCCTCTCCAAGGACCCGTCCCTCCTGGCAACATGTCCAAAGTATGTCAGACGAAGCCCCAGAATCTTTGCCTCCAAGGAGTAGCTTGGTTTAATCCTCTCCAAGATGAATCTGTTTGTTTTCCTGGCAGTCCATGGTACATTCAGTACCCTTCTCCAGCACCACAGCTCAAAAGCATCCACTCTCCTTCTGTCCTCCCTAGTCATTGTCCAACCCTCTGATGCATAACAAGCGATTGCAAATACCATGACCTGTATCAGGCGCACCTTAGTCTCCAGAGAGACACTGTTGCTCCTGAGTACGTTTGAGAGGTCCCTAACAGCACACTTTCCCATCGCGATACGCTTTTTGATTTCCTGACTGCTGGTGCCAAGAGTGTTGACTGTGGAGCCGAGCAAAGTGAAGCTGTGAACACTCTCAATCTCTTCGTCATCCATCCTGACGCTGCTAATTGGTCCAGTGGCAAGAATCTTTGTCTTCTTGACATTGAGCCTTAGTCCATACTGAAGGCTGCAGTCCTTGACCCTTCGCAGCAAGCGCATGAGGTCCTCCTCAGTTTCAGCAAGCAGGGTTGTGTCATCTGCATAACGGAGATTGTTAATAGATCTTCCACCAATCCTGATGCCACAATTCTCCTCATAGAGCCCAGCCTGTCGGATAATCTGCTCTGCATACATGTTTAAAAGGTATGGAGACAGGATGCATCCCTGGCGTACACCCTTCCCAATTTTGAACCATGCAGTGTTACCCTGCTCTGTTCTGACTACTGCCTCTTGGTCCAAGTATAGGTTTCGTATTAGGACAATTTAATGTTCTGGGATTCCCATTCTTCTCAGAGTCAGCCACAGTTTGTTATGATCCACACAGTCAAATGCCTTTGCATAATCAATGAAACACAGATAGACATTCTTCTGGTATTCCCTGATTTCAGCCAAGATCCATCTAACATCAGCAACAGTATCCCTAGTACCACGACTCCTTCTAAACCCAGCCTGGACTTCTGGCAGTTCTCTGCTAATGTGCTGTTCTAATCGTTTTTGGATGATCTTCAGTAGAATCTTGCTTGCATGTGAAATCAATGACACTGTTCTGTAGTTTCCACACTCAGTTGGGTCACCTTTCTTTGGAATGGGAACAAATATAGATCTCTTGCAGTCAGTTGGCCAAGTGGTTGTTCTCCAGATTTCTTGGCACAACTTGGTGAGCACATCCAGGGCAACATCTGTTATCTGAAATACTTCAATTAGTATACTATCTATTCCTGGGGCCTTATTTTTTGCTATTTCCTTCAAAGCAGCTTGAACTTCTTCCTTCATCACCATAGGCTCTTGCTCATATGTTATTTCTTTAAATTCCTCTGTATCTGCCAATTCCTTTCTATATAATGACTCAGTGAGTCTTGGCTAAATGTGATCTTATTCCATTGAAGAGGTTGATTAGTTTAAATTCTGGAAGAGTTGAGTTCAAGGTGTTCATTCTAGAGAGTACTGCTGAAATGTGACTGGGAGGCAAAGTGTAGGAAGATCACAGGTACCAAGGTTCAAATCCTAGTTCCCTTACTTCGTGAGAAAGATCCTTAGTGCCTCTGTGATGATTTCAGTTTGGTGTCAAAAGGATTAAATGAGATAACTTGTGAAAGCTCTTAGTTAATATTTGGCACATGTTAGGGGCTAGCTTCATGTTGTTTTCTTACCTGTTTTTACCTCCTTACCTTAAATAGACGAAAGATATTCCCGGTCTGTATCCATCTGTCTAAAATTAAGCTGGGTTTCCCCTGCAAACAGGGCAGAGAATAAAGTCAGAAATTCCTTTCTGCCCTGTAGGTTGTTTTTTGGAGGTTTAAATGTACTTTGCTTCATTTAGGATAGGCTTTCTTTAAAATATGTTGTTGTAATTGAGCTACTTGTGTTAATTTTGGGTTTCTGCCTCAGACTCATCAAATTGACTTGAATGATAGACATTATTTTGTTGTTGGACTGTACAGTCAGAACCAACCCATAGCTGACCCTCCAATGGGTTTTCAGAAGCAGTTAATCACGCGGGAGGAGATTGCTCATCCTTCTCCTGGGGAGTAGCTGGTAGCCTCGAACCATGTTCCTTTGGGATTGCAGCACAGCTTTTTGCCACTAGACCACCACAGTTCTCAAACTGATTTGAAAAAGAGACTATAGGGTCTGTTTTTGTTGGTGGTGTTTAGTGCCATTGGATGGTTCTTGATTCACGGCAACTCCATACAGAACAACAGGATGAAATGTTGCCCAGTCCTGTGCCATTCTCACAATTGTTTTCTTAGAGCCCATTGTTGTAACCACTGGGTCAGTCCGTCTCTTTGAGGGTTTTCTCCTCTTCTGCTGACCTTGTACCATTTATGACATCTTTCTCTAGAGTTGTGTCCCTTGTGATAATTGGTTCAAAACTAGTGAGGTGAAGTCTTGCCATCTTTGCTTCTAAGGAGCCTCTTGTCTGTACTCCTCCAAGACAGATCCGCTTGTTCTTCTGGGATTCTACGGTGTATTCAGTATTCCCCCCATTAGTGATTCAAAAGGAAGCTGGTGTGGCCTACAAGTAAGAAGCTGTGCTGCAGTTGCAAAGGTGTATGGTTTGAATCTTCTGGCTGCTCTGTAGGAGAAGGATGGGCATTCTCCTCCCATGCGACTTACTGCCTTCATAAACTCACTTCCTGCCACCAGAAACTCTCTGCACCATCAGCTGTGAGATCAGTACAACTCAGTGGCAAACAGCAACAACAATAACATTGTTTCAAATGTATCAATCCCTATAGATCCTTTAAGGGGGTGTGTGTATGTATGGGAATGTGATTATTATGTTTAGGATTCTTTGTGATGCAAGAAATCAAGATAGTCCTAATGATAAAAAGACTTTATTAACTCTTATCTTTAGGGAAGACTTGATTCAGGAGCTTAGAGTTTGTCACCCAGAATCAGATCTCTCTCCGTCCTTCCATCAGCTTCCTACTGACTTCTTTCATTGCCGAGAGCTGCAGGCTCTCCCTCCACTCAAGGTCATTAAAGGCCTGTGGTAGCTTCAGACCTGTCCTTCTCGGGCTGTACTGTTCAGAGGAAAAGAGGCCCCCTCCTGTAGTTGCTGCTGAGGATAAAGAAACATCACTTTCTAAGATGTTATCTTCTCACCTTCATGGTTTTGAGTTGGATTATGTGCCCATCCTTAAAATCACCACTGTAAAAGAAAGGGTGATACAATGTTCTGATTTGTTAGCACCCAATCAAGACCTATCTCTAGTGTAAGAGTAGAGTTAACCCTACAGAAACAACACGGGATGAGTGGTTTTATGCCAGACAATTCGGGTTCTCGTTCCACAAGGAAGAAGTTCTCTGATGGTAAGTCCGTAGCCCATTGCACTGCTTACTATGAGGCTACTTATGTCATCTGGTGGCATGAATCCACCGGATTGGCTCCATAGGAGAAAGAAGGGCAGTCTTCTCCCGTTAAAATTTACATCTTCAAAAACCCAATGAGAGTTGCTACGAGGCTCTTAGTATTAACTCATGACAGTAGGTGAGAGAGTGTGTATATTCTAGGGCAGAGGAAGATGTTGAGCAGTGGGCCAAGGTGACCTGCTTCAGCAGTTCCCATAGTTTTATACGAATAACTTACAACCTGGGCAACTCCCTAATGCTTCCGTTTTCTATAGATGCTGTGCATGTGTGTGGATGTGTTATATGCAAAACATGGTCATTCTGATTTTGCACTGTCTAATAAAGCTTTCTGTTGTGACTGTAGGGATCATCCCTGTATCATGTGGACTGGAGGCTGCAGGAGAATTCCGGTTCTAGTGTTCCATGCTGAGGCTATTCTGACAAAGGACAATAATATTCGAGTAATTGGAGGTAAGCATGGCCCTCTTCCTGCATGGCAGGGCAGAGCCTGCCCCCTGGCAGCTTGTCTTGGAGAATCTGGTGTCACGTACAAATAGGAAAAGAGCCTTAACAATAAGAATCATCTCGTACTTTGCTGTACTTGAAAGAATGTTTTAGAACTTCTGAAATTGTTTTCTCCTTGTGTTTGCTTTTCTTCTTTGATTCAACTTCCCCCGCCCCCCAATTATGTGTACATATTTTTCTATTGTATATGTATCTCTATCTGAAAATTCACCATTGCCAAGTGAGTTCATTGCTGTTTAGTGTATTCAGAGAGTCGTGCACTCATAAACACTTGTGTTATCAAAGATTTTTCATCACTCCGCACAAAAATTGAATACCCCTTTAATAATAAGCCCCCTTCTCCCTTCTTCCTAAGTACATGGTAATCACTAATTTCTGTTTCTATGGATTTACCTATTCTGGCTGTTTCATACAAATGAAATCAGTCATACAATATGTGGCCTTTTTTGTGTCTGACTTCCTTGACTTAATGTTTTTGAGGCATATTCATACTGTAGGTTTATTCTTTCTGTGGTTGAATCATGTTCCATTGTGTTGGCATCTCCTGGATTAAGAACAGGATTAATTTCTAAATTATCTTTAAGTAAGATTTGTAGATAATTTGGAACAGGTGGATACTGTCCTTAGTTAGCCCTACTTATGTCCAAGAAGTTGCCCTGGTGGCCTGGTGAGTTTACATGTTGGGCTACTAATCGAAGATCAGTGGTTTGAACCCACCAGTTATGGGAGAAAGAAGGGCAGTCTCCTTCAGTTAAAATTTGCAGCTTTGGAATCTCTTGGGCATCATAGGTCACAAAACTGACTTAGTGGCAGGGGTTTGGTTTTTGTTTTAGTGCAAGAAAAAGCTTGATGCCTTTTCAGTGGTTTAAACGCTGCAGATGCATCAAGTGAAGGTGATTATGAATTTGTTCTGAGTACCAGCTGGCTTAGTTATTTCAAAGTGAGACTGATTTGTATAAACTAAAGAGCAAATAGGAATTGTCTATGTAGGTTGGACGTTCTTAACTTGGAGACATGCTTGTTAAATCACACAAAATATAACACGCTATCCATTCATCGGCTGATGGACATTAATGTTCCTGCCTTCTACTTTTGTGAGCAGTGATGCTGTGAACATTTGTATCCAAGCTTTTGTTTGAATGCCTGTTTGCAATTCTTTTGAATATAAACCAGGAATGAAATTGCTAGGCAGTATGATAATTCTGGGGAGGTCTAGTGTTGCTGCTAACCCAAAGTCAGTTCTTCTCTGGTGGTTCAAATCTACCATCACCTGGGCGGAGAGAGAGAGACAGAGAGAGAGAGATGGGCAGTCTCCGCCCTGTCATTTACAGCCTCAGAAAACCCACCAGAGGAGCCAGAGGAGTTGTTCTTTTCCACAGTAGTTGCACCAGCAACTATTTCCACCAGCAGTATGTGGTGGTTAAGTGCCGTCGAGTTGACTAAAGCTCATAGCAACCCTTTGAACAGTGGATTTGAACCCCGCCCTATCCTGTGCCATCCTCGTGAACTCTGACACACTCGAGCCCACTGTCACTCCATTGTGTTGAGAGTCTTTTCCTCCTTCGCTGAAACTCTTCCTTTTCCATGTATGACGAGTTCCAGGACTGGCCTGTCCTAACAACATGCCAAAGAATGTCAGATGAAGGTTCACTATCCTAGACTCCAAGGAGCGCCCTGGCTGCACCTTTTCCAGGATATACTTGTTTGTGCTTTTGACAGTCCATGGGGCTATGCAACACTCTTCTCCAGCACCAGAACTCAAAGACACTGTGTTCTTCTGTCATCCGTGTTCATTGTCCCAACTTTCAGGTGCATAGTAGGTGATTGAAAAGATCGTGGTTTGAATCAGGTGTCCCTTAGTCTTTAAGCTGACATCATTGCTCTTCAGGACTTTGGAGCAATCTCTGACAGCAGACTTTCTCAGTCCATTTCATCTTTTGCTTTTCTGGCTCCCAGTGCCAAAGGTGTTGACATGAATCTAGACAGGATTTTAATTTGTGTTATCTTGCTATCACTTGTTACCTGTTTTTGTTTTTTCATTGTAACCACCCCAATGATTAGTAAGTGGAACTCCATCGTGATTTTGATTTGCATTTTCCTACTGACTCAGACAATATCATTACTACCACATTCAAGCAAAATATTACTGAAAATCATCCAAGAGTGAGTAGAACAATACATTGACAGAGAACTGTGAGATGTTCTCTGCGAGAACAGGCCGTGGCACCCGGGATATACCAGAAGGATGTCTGTGTTTTATTGACTGTGCAAAAGCATTTGACTGTGTGGATCATAACAAACTGGCTAACATTGCAGATAACAGGAATGCCAGAACATTGAATTGTGCTTATATGAAATCTATCCCTAGACCAAGAAGCAATTATGTGAAGAGTCGAGGAAGACTGCGTGGTTTAAAATCAAGAGAGGAGTGAGTCAGGGCTGTGTCCTTTCTCTGTACCTCTTCAATCTATGTCCTAAACAGACCATATAAGAAACTCGATTTAATGAAGAATATGGTTATCAGCCTCGGAAGGAAGACTTATCAATAACTTGCATTATGCAGATGACACTGGCTTGCTTGCTGAAAGTGAGTAGAACTTGAAGCATTTTCTGCAGAAGACTAAAGATGTACATGAAGCCTTCAATGTGAATTACATCTCAGCATCAAAAAAGCAAAGATCTTCACCATCGGGACAATAGGCAACATCCTAATGGAGACAAGATTGAAGTTGTCAGTGATTTTTTTTTTCCTTCTCCTTTTAGTTATCCATGATTTTATCTTACTTGGATCTATAATCAGCACCATCAGTATCAGAGTCAAGATAGCAAAAGACGTATTGCATGGGGAAAATCTGTCAGAGACCTTTCCAAAGTCCTGAAGAGCAAGGATACTAGCTTAAAGACTAAGGTGCACTTGAGTCAAGACTTTACAATAACCTGCTATTCATCTGAGAGCCGAACAATGAATAAAGATGACAGGAGAGTGATTGATGCCTTGAAATGTAGTGTTAGAGAGGACTGCTAAGTGTCCCATGGATTGCCAAAAGAACAAACATATACCTTGGTAGAAGTGGAGCCAGAGTGCTGCTTGGAGGTAAGGATGGTTAGGTTTCTACTCACATATGTTGGACATGTTAGGAGAGACTATGCCTGGAAAAGAACATTATACTTGGAAATGTAGAGGGTCAGTGAAAGAGAGGAAGACCCTCAAAGACATGGATTGACTCAGTAGCTTAGAGCAATGAGATCAAGTATATCAGATGATAAAGATGGTACAGGATAGGACAACATTCAAATCTGTTGTCCATAAGGTCTCTTTGAGTTGAATTTGACTCAGTGGCACCTAACAATAACAGCTGACTAATGATGTTAGTAAGTTGGTTTTTTAAAAATAAAATTTTTATTTTAAACTAGTTAACTTAAGTATAAATTGTTTTTTCACACTGGATTTTTCCTAATTCCTTTATCCACCCCTCCCTCTACCTATAAAATTGTGCAACCCCCTTGCCCATCCTCATCCCTATGCTCCTCCTACCTTGGATTCTCATACATGTTTTACTAGTTATCTTTCTATAATGTCTTATACAGTATTTGTCTTTATGGGGACTTAGTTCACGTAGCATAATGCTTCCCACTTCCTCCCAAATTAGGTTACCAGGACATAATAAATATTGCCAGCAAGTAATAAATGTTGGGGAGGATATGGAGAGATAGGAACTCCCCCCCCATTTTTTTTCTTTTCTTGTTCTGTATCCTTGAGTCAGATCTGACTGGCACAGGAGGAGATTGCCTCTCTTCCAGCAGAGCATCTGGCCAGAAGGCCACCAGAGCTCCCTGAGACATAGAAACTCTTATACACTGTTGGTGGGATTGTCAAATGGAACGACCAATCTGGAAGGCAGTTTGGCGCTTCCTCAAAAGCTGAACATAGAAATTCCATATGACCCAGCTATTCCACTGCTTGCAATATACCCCGAGAAAATGAGAACTGAGGCACAAATGGAGATTTGTACACCAGTGTTCATAGCAGTGTTATTCACCATTGCAGGGTCATGGAAACAGCCCAGATGTCTAACCACAGTCAAATGGATTGAGAAGTTATGGCACATTCATGCAATGGAATACTAATCAGCATGCAGGAGAAATTATTTTGAAAATTATACCAAATTGGATGTTAGTAGTTTTTTAATGTACTTATTAATAATTTATAAATCTATTTGGAGAAATGTTTATTCAAGTTCTTCACCAATTTTTAAATGGAATTACCTTTTTGTTGTTGAATTGTAAGAGTGTTTTATGTATCTTGAAAACAGCATCCTTAAGAGTTTGCAAGTCTTTTTACCCATTCTGTGGGTTTTCTTTTACTCATTTGATGGTCAGTGGTCTTTGATGCACGGAAGTTTTGAAGGTTCCTGATCTCTTTTCATTCTTTTGTTACTTATATTTTCAATGTTAAATCTAAGAAGACATTGCAACATTTTGACCAAACTTCAAAGTCATAAAAATTTACACCTGTTTCCTTTTGTTTCCTCTTTGAGTGTTATTTATTTTGTTGTTGAGAATTTACCCAGCGAAATACACACCAACTCAACAGTGTCTGTGTCTATCATACAGTTACATTGAGTACATTATTCCAATTGTGCAAATTGTTCCTCACTCAGTAATGTATAAACGCGTCTCTAAAGTTTGTCTATATCTTTTTTTAAATTAAATTTTATTAGTTTTAATGAACATTTACAGATATTTTGGGTTTTATTCATTCATTCATTGTTGCACTGTTTTCTCCACCCTCATCCCCAGTTTGTTCTTCTTTCCCCCCCTCCCAGTGTCTGTTTTAATTG